TATAATTATTGATAATCTATCTTCTAGAAGAAGAAATCAAGACTTAACCGATTTATCCAGAGCACATAGTGGCAGAAATAGAATTCTTAAACACTGATCAATTAGTCATATTTATTCAATCATTCACTCATTCATTCAATAAGTAATTATTGAGGGCCTTCTGGTGAAGAGGAATGATGGTAGGTTCTGAAGATATAAGATGCCTGTGTTCATTTAGCTTTCATTTTAGTAGAGGAGATGAAAAATAAGCAAGTAAACAAATGTACAAATTACATTTAGTGCCAAGAGAAAAAGAAATAAGGGGAAGTTAAAGAAAGAAGATCCCTCAGAGGAAGTCACATTTAGACTCAGAATGAAAGAATAAAGAAATAACTATGAGCAAAATGAAAAATGCACATTCCAGGAACATGTGTCGGCAAATGTCTGAGCAGGTACAACTTTTGCATTGAACTAAGAACTAAAAGGAAACCAACATGGCCAGAACATGATAAATGAGTGACAAATGCCTCTTTCTTTCTGATGTCTCATTTCATTACCAAAGGACAATAACATCATACTTTATAGTTAGAGGAAACTACATTGTACTACCCAAACTGGATACCTTTTGATAATGAAAGGAAATTCTAATATGCCAGGACAGTATAAGACAAGACAATACAACAATATTATGCCAAAATAAGAAAAGACAATATTAGTATGCCAGGACATGACCAAGACTGTCAAAAGCATACCAGAACATGGGGCCATTCTATTTAAAACCCATGGTAAGTAGCTTGGATATTATTCTAAATGCAGTAAGAATAATTTAAAGGGCTTTACATAGGGGAGTGACACAATCTAATAAACATTTTAAGAAAATTACTCTAGATCATAAAAGGAACAGATTGAAAGGTGGAGCAAAAACGGAAATAGGAAGCCCAATTAGAAGGCTGGTATGATTATCTGAGTTAGAGATGATATTATAGATCAAGCTGGTGGCAGTAAGAGGAAAGCAGCATCAGCAATTAGTTAATGCCTCGGCTGGCAATGTATGTGAAAGGGAGAGGTGAAGCCATCCTAGCTTTCTGACTTTGATAGCTATATAAATGGTTCTACCATTTTGAAAAAGGAGTGACTTTTAGGAATCTCCTTTCTCTTAGGACTCAACAGAGTACTGACTTAGAGAAGATATACACATTGAGACCTTCTTTTCAATCCATCTCAAAGTCCACGAGCTCACGGTGCATATTACTGAGTACAGACTACATAAACATCAACTGTAAAGGCTTGTCACCGACTCTACAGGCTCAATCTTTTCTCACAAACATCATCCAAATGAATCAAAGCCCTCAACTCAATGTATTGGTTCTTAGAAACTTAAGTACATTTTAAACTGCCCACCCTATACCCAAGTTTATTATTTTTTTTAAAGCTTTATTTATGCGTACAAGAACCGGGGTACAGGCCAGATGTGCACAAGAGGGTGAGAGGATTCACCAGAGACAGAGCAGGCAGACTGACTGAAACACACTGCTGAGGGGAGCAGCGGGAGAGACAAGAGAGGTCTGTCGCGCCATGTGGGATTCTTGCCGGCTGGCTGGGATCGAACCCATGCTGCAGAGGCTGCAGCACACAGTGCTGAACCACAGCTTCACAGTGCTGCACTCAACTGCCTGTGTCACCAGGGGAGGCCCATCTCTACCCAAGTTTAATTCCTCTCAATGTAATAACAGCTTGAATGATAAAATTCGTTAGATTTAAGATTATTTCTGTGAACTATCTCCCCTAGCCCAGCAAATTCGAAACAGAGAAGTGTTAGTAAGCTACAGGAATGTATTAAAGTGATGTATAATGTGTTACTGATCTACAGTGATATATTTAAAAATTTTAAATATTGCTACTGTATTGTACAGTGCAAATACTAATAGTTTCTGTCATCACTGAAAGACTTACTAAAGCTATTGTAGTCTCCAATATGGAAAACTATTCATGGGAATTCACGCATAACAAAAACAATGGTTTCTCCTAAGCCACTTAGACACCTGGTTGATTTGCAAAAAAAAATACCCACTAGATTATCTAGAGACTGCTATTCAGTTATTTTAAAGCAGTCATTTTCTATCACCTAACACAAAAATTAATTCACTTAGATGAAGTCAGATAGTAGCAGTGCTCAGGATTAAAATCATTCATGTGTTACCTTTCTTGTGTTCTTTTAGTAGAAGGATAAATGTGAGCTTTAATAGTGTGGTGGAGGTATTAGACTGAAACAAGAGACTCTTGCCTTCACCCATATTATCCAGGTAACCAGGTTCTTCTAATGGTTCACAATCTGTTCAACGCCCTGTTTCTAAGACACCATTAGAGTTGAGATTTGCTGAGTTAACATTTACACACACCAGACAGGATGCTAACATGAAGTTGGCAAGATGATCTATTCTTACTCCTACATTAAAGATTTAGGAGGTTTTGAAATGTACAAGTCCAAGTGAGTTAAGGATGATTCACTCTGATAAATACCAGCTGGGAGGAGGCCACAGCCACTATCAGATTTGAGATAATATGGAAAGTACTTTGTTCTGATTGTCTTTTCTCATAGTGCTTAGAATTTGTTCCAAACTATAGCACTAAGAGCAGGACATATACTTTTAATAATCAAAAAAACTGGGAAAGCTTTCAGTTGCTCCCCAACCTAACAGAATCAGAACTTTCTTCAATAAAGCAGAATTTCAGTACGGGTGGCGGGGGGGAAATACATTTGACATTGTAAAAAGTATTCTAACTGGTGATAGAATGAATTCTTCCCATTTATTACATGTTACAGGGGAAGATAAAGAAGAGGGAAATAGGCAATTTGACAACTGACTATGTGCCATTCACAACGCTAGTCTCCTTCACAGACTTTATTCTACTAAATTCTCTCAATCTGAGCGGTGGAAGTTTTAAAACCCATTTACAACTGAGGAAAGATAGACCCAAAAGGTTAAATAATTTTCTAAAAGTCACATAGCTGGTAAGAAACAGAATCTACTACGCCGATATTCTCAAAGTGTGGTCCTCAGATTTTGTTGGTTTAGATAAATGTTAGTGAGAATAAGCGAGCAGAAATTTTTCTATCAAATTGATACAGATGTGACATTTTTATTGTATTTTGTAAAAGTTTTGCTTCACCATAGATTGGAAATGTAAAAATCCAATGTCTCACCACAACATTGTGAGAAGCATTACACTAGACTATTAAAGCCTATGAGAACCTGGGCTCTGTTCACAGTAAAAACCCTAACATGTGTTCCAAGTAAGATTTGCTGACAAAGAACTTTGAAGCGCAAACTCAAGTTTTTCGGGTTCCATAGCATTTTTTTTTAACCTATATGAGTTCACCAATTAAGTTACACATACTTAAAATTTCTTTGAAGAGGTCCTACTTCTATTTAAAAAAGTCTATCAGAAAATATGTCAGGAATATGTGCTCATCATACGGCTATGTTCTGAATTTCCCAGAAAACAGCAGTTTAACTTGAACTTCCCTCTACAATTTCTTATACAAAAGGGATTCAGGGCAAGCATACATGGAGTTTGACTTACTATGCCTGTTGAAATGGCAGTATGCTTGAAACTCAACCAATTTGTTTGCAAGTAACAATACTGGGCTATAATTATTTTATTTTATTTTATTTTTTTAAAGATTTATTTATTTATTTATACAAGCACTGGGTACAGTCAGAAGCGCAGGAGGGTGAGAGATTTCACCAGAGCCAGAACAGGGAGCAGAACAGGCAGAAGGACTGAGGTACATTGCTGAGGGGAGCAGCGGGCGGCAGGAGGGGTCTGCGCACTATGTGGGACCCTCACCCGGCGGCCGGGGATTGAACCGGCGCTGTAGAGGCTGCGGGCAGCTTCGCAACCCAGCGCTCAACTGCTGTGCCACTGGGGAGGCCCGGCTATAATTATTTTAAATGAATTATGTAAGAGAACTTATTAATATAGTCAAGAGATATGTCAGAAGCTATTCACAGAGAAATAGTCTTGAAACAATTTAGTAATGTTAAAAATTATTTTAGAAAATGTTTCCAAAAGTAGAGGTATTTCACACAGGAATTAGACCTCCATGCTACCATTGTACCAAGTATAGAGCCCAAGGGAATCATTTGGTAAAGGTGAATTACCCTTAAGTAACCCACTTTTCATGTTCACATGTATCTATTAAAAGGAAAACTGAAAATAATGATACTCTTTGTAGAGATATAAATGGGTGTGTATTTTGTGAAACTATCATTGCTCCAGCAATTAAGATGATATTAATAATTATACCACCTAAGCAAATTTTCACTTCAGTTTCTTTTTTCATTGTTTCCTCTATCTTATCCTTTTTCTTTTATTAAGTTTTAATGTCTTACCAAAATATAATTTGAATAAAGTAACACTAAATGCACTTTAACTGCAATGAGTAACGAAACTTGTAAAAACTTGCAGGTATAAAGGAGTTCATGAGAAAAAATGAGTATGTAGTCAGACACATATCATAATTGTTTTCCAACAGGTTCATTCAGATTGGCATTTATAAAAATGGAAAATGAAGCTTTAAAAAGTTATTGTAAAATGTCTATTTTAAATATTTCTAGGAGCTGATTCAGATAGATGGAGAAGAATTTTAAACACTGATCATGACATTCTTTATACATTGTTAGTGCAAAATTCTGATAGCAAACATCTGTAAATGTCCATAAAATACTATCATTTTAAAAACTTCACTATAAAGATAAAATTTGAAGACTTTGGAGATATAAAGGCTCTATTTTTTTCCCCAGAAATCACCTAGATACACCACATATACATGAGACACAAAGATTTTTAGGAAATGTCTAAACATACACGTGTGGATTTTAAATTATAACTATGTATTAGAAACCACACACACGTAATCATATGCAATTAACTTAAGTTGATTATGCTGAGAGCTTTGGGAGCAGGGAAAGATGAAGATAGTCTTAGACTTCAAGAAAATATTAGCAAGTACTTACGATATGCAGAAGTTTTAACACATCCACAAACCTGTAAAAAACAATGAAAGAAATGTTTTAAATGAGTGAGCCAATGGGGGAAACAGTCATCTGAATTATAAACTAGATACCTACACTTTCTCTGAGCTCATGATCTCCTTGGCAATATGATGAACTTTATTTTTCATTCCAGGATCTTCATCCTGTAGATAAGAGTACATTGAGAAAGCATGAACTCATTGCTCAAAAAAGCAATATGGAGCAGGAGCTGCAGATACACCATGATATGGGCAGAACTAAGAGCGACTGGTAATCACCATCATAAGCACTGGAGTAATGAACTGCCTTGAGTAGTTCCAGAGCCTTGGAGCATAGTCATCAACGGTTACAAACCAAAAAGTCACATTCTGCAGGGCAAATGAGTCCTACAGATATCACGTGAACCATGAGTTCTTGGAGTGCACACAAGTAATTTAAGATAAGTGAATATTTAACAGGAATGTGTGAGGCGACTTCATCATAAGTAAAGTCATTCTCAAGTAAGACAAGCACAGTCTGAAAGGACTCCTCTCACAGTCTATACCAAACACAGGCCAACATTACAGCCACAGGCTCTCTCAACTTCCTTACAATCCCTTCTAGAAATATACTCCTAGAATAAGGAAGTTTTATTCTAAAAGAGCTGAAATGAAATTCTTTTAACATGTAATTTTGTGTGAAAATTAAATGTCCCAGCAGGGACAGAAAATGTACATATTTGAAGAAAAAAAAAAAAAGGTGACTTAGAATGAGGTCATACTTTGGAATTTGTTGTGGTTGTTTTCATTTAAATACTGATAGAACTAGATTTGACTTCAGGGCATTAGAAAACAGGAGGAATTTCTCCTCATTTCTATTCTGGTAAAAGATTTGAACACAGTGAAAGGCAAGAAATTAAACAAGGAACAAGCAATTATAACTTTTTAGATATTAAACCTAAGGTGAAAATTATTTCTACTGCCATTAAAATGAAAGTGTGCTGAAAAGTCAGATCTGGTTTTAGAAAGAAGTCTCTCTGCACTTGTGCCAGCACTGGCCTTACCTTACCAGAACCTAGTCAATTTGTGTTGTGCAGAGTGTAGTTGGAAATTATTAATAAATGTCCTAGCAGAGACAAAAACTGTCACAATAAGGATAAAAAGTGACTATGACAGGCCAGTAGTCAATCACTAATGACACAAGAGAAAAACAATGGTAGTGACTTAATCTGAAGTAGCTTTCGTCTCTAAACTGAAATTCAGGGTCAACATAGCAGGTCTGACCTGCAATGGGTCAAAAGGACTATTTTAGTTCCTCATATGGAAAAAAATTTGCTTTTACCATCTCCAGATTTTCAGAATCAGAACCAAGGTACAACAGATACAGTTTACCAATGGATGAAACTCTTTTAAAAATTGCATTTTAATAAATTTTTAAAAAGTATGTCTGCTGGGCCTCCCCTGGTGGCGCAGGCGCTTGAGCGCAGTGCCGTGAAGCTGTCCACAGCCTCTGCAGCACAGGTTCAATCCCGGCCAGCCGGCAAGGGTCCCACATGGTGCGGCAGACCTCTCCTGTCTCGCCCACTGCTCCCCTCAGCAGTGTATTTCATCTGTCTGCCTGTTCTGTTCCCCACTCTGTCTCTGGTGAATCCTCTCACCCTCCCACGCATCTGACCTGTACCCGGTTCTTGTATAAATAAATAAATAAATCTTAAAAATAAAAGTATGTCTGCTTATAATCTGTACACACATTAAAATCTTTTGATTCACTTAAAGCACTGGTGATGTTCAAGTGAGTAGACTAGGTGAGGTATCCTCAAGATTTTATGGCATATTAAAATTTAGATTTTTTTATTACAATCATTTCTATTCTCATAAGAAATTAGAGAGGGCCTCCCCAGTGGCACAGCGGTTGAGCACTGGGTTGTGAAGCTGTCTGCAACCTCTGCAGTGCCAGTTCGATCCCCGGCTGCCGGGCGAGGGTCCCACATGGCGCGCAGACCTCTCCTGCCGCCCGCTGCTCCCCTCAGCAGTGTACTTCGTCAGTCTGTCTGTTCTGCTCCCTGCTCTGGCTCTGGTGAATTCTCTCACCCTCCCGCGTTTCTGACTATATCCAGTGCTTGTATAAATAAATAAATAATCTTTAAAAAAAAAAAGAAATTAGAGAGATATAGTGATAAAAAGGATAATTTTTTTTTTTTTTGGTAAAATATCTTTTTTTTTTTTTTTTAAAGATTTATTTATTTATTTATACAAGCACTGGGTACAGTCAGAAGCACGGGAGGGTGAGAGAATTCACCAGAGCCACAGCGGGGAGCAGAGCAGGCAGAAGGACCGAAGTACACTGCTGAGGGGAGCAGCGGCGGCAGGAGAGGTATGCGCGCCATGTGGGACCCTCCTCTGGTGGCCGGGGAGCAGCCGGGGATCGAACCGGCGCTGCAGAGGCCGAGGGCAGCTTCGCAACCCAGCGCTCAACCACTGCGCCACTGGGGAGGCCCAAAAAAAAAGGATAATTTTTTAAAATTCATTTTGTACTATACTAAAAATTGGTGGATCACAAATGGTAGTTAAACACATGAGAGAATGAGATCCAGGTCAGATTTCCAAAGAAAACCCACTCAAAATGGATTCACCAAAATTCAAAGTTGATTATTAGCAGAGTTGGAAAGAGAATGCAAATTTCCCAATATTTAACCTAAAATTCTTCATTCTCTCTCTTCCATATCTCTTCAGTAGCTACTGGTAATCATGGCATATCTTAACAAAATTCACTGCTCACCATATACCTATATATCTCTCTCTCTCCTCCATCAAGATTTAATAAATGCAAATATTTTACAGTATTTGGTTTAAATCTTTTTATGAGACAAATTGCTATGTGTAACATTCAAGTCTCCTTCTTCCTCCAGGAATAAACACTAATCTTGGAGTTTATGTGTTTTTGTCCTTTCTTGTTTTCATTCCCCACAGAAGAATTTATATAGTACCATGAAACCACAGCCCTTCCATCAGAATATACATATTATTATGCAAAATATTCAAAGTAGGCTATGAAACCAACTACTTTTGAAAATAATCTTTAAAGGTAATTATTAATTCAGAGTGTGTAATAATGGTCCAGTCTAATTAGACCAGGATCTTTTGACTTGCTACTTGACCTTAGCTCCAAGCTCCCATCTTTAAAGAGACAATTAGATTAATTTGAACTCTATCCCCATTATTAGTGCACTTTTGTAAGACTGGTTATTGAATGATTGTGACTAACTGGCTGGATAAGTTTTGCTCAACTGAACAAAATGAGACATTAAGAAACTCAACTCATTCACCCACCTTTAAACTGCACATGGCTAACATTAATCAGGGAGCATCTTAAGCACAGTCTGACCTTGCAGACCAAGTATCAGTCATAGACTAAAAACCACGACTTTGTACACACACGCGCACGCGCACCTGGATAATTATTTTGGGAGTTATTTTAAAAAGTAATGTTTTTCTATTATAATGGATTACAATATATCACCTATAGCTAGAAAGTTTAATGTTCACAAAACAGTGTATTTTTTTAAAAATAAAGTTCAGGAGAAATACAATAAAAATTTTAAAAAAGCTAAAACATTGAAAGAAATGAAGTCTTGATTTTGTAGTCTCCATTTTATTTTTTAAGATTCATTTTTATTTATTTATGCATACAAGAACTGTGTGTAGGCCAGCAGTGTAGGTCAGGGGAAATGAGAGGATTCACCAGCAACAGAGTGGGGATCAGAACAGGCAGATCTACTGAAATACACTGCTGAGGGGAGCAGCGGGCAAGACAGGAGAGGTCTGTTGTGCCATGCAGGTTAGCTCCCTGGCCGAGAATCAAAATAATGCTGCAGTGGCTGGCAATAGCTTGATAGCGCTGTCTTTAATCCCAGAACCACCAGGGAGGCCCTGTACTCTCCATTTTTAAAAAATGTGAGGTCTCTTAAATGCCAAGAGGTAGCCTTAGTAGCAGCTTTAAAGAAAACTCGGTACACTACACATGCTAAAGTATTTGATTAGTAGAGCTAGTTAAAATGTGTCCCAGCTCTATACAAAAATGTCAAGTAGAAAAAAGAAAAACCAAAAATGTCAAGTAGGTGTACTTTATTTTTGACATTACACAGTTTCTTTTCCTCTTTTGAACATTCTTCTTTTTAAAAGTTTCTACTCTGCGCCTTTTTTATTTTCTCTTCTTCAGGATCTTGCTATGCAGAGCCTTAGTCAGAGAAGACTGTACAGAGTGATACCACGATAATGTGTTATCCTGGGCAAGTAACATGCTTCCATTACAGCAGAGGATAAAATACTTTAACGCAGAATAATAATTACGGTTAACCTGACATTTCTCATCTGTAAAATATTGAACTCTCAGCTTTAAAATCCTAACTTTTAAACATTGATATCTGTATTCCCAGGTGTGTTATGCAAGTCAATGAGAGACAGGATGGCAGTAATTCAGTGGCAGCAGCGGGGCTGGTGACTATGAAGTATGTGGTTTATTTTTTTTCCCTAGAAAATGAGACTATAGACTTTGGGGGCAAAGTGGTGGCCACTGTGATAAAGACAGATACAAAGATCAATGTAAAAAAATTGGGATTCAGAAATAAATCTTTAAATTTATGGTATCAAGTTGTCATGGCAATTTAATGAGAAAGGATCGCTTTTCTTGAACAAAGGGCTGCAAATTGCTAAAACAAATGGATAGCCACAAGCAAAAAAGATGTATTTACACTCTGTCTGATAGCATGTAGAAAATTAACTAAAAGTGTATTATACACTTATATATAAGAGCTAAAATGCCAAAGCTTCTAGAAGAAAATCTTTGTGACTGTGGAATAGGCTAACCATTTTTATTTTATTTTTTTGTGTAGAAGAACTGTGTTGTAGACTGGAGTTTCTGGGGTGGGCAGAGAGAGGATTCACCAGAAACAGAGTGGGGAGCAGAACAGGCAGATTTACTGAAATACACTGCTAAGGGAAGCAGTGGGTGAGACAGGAGAGGTCTGCTCCACCACGTGGGTAGCTCTCTGGCTAGCTAGGGATTGAATTCATGCTGCAGAGGCTGCGGATAGCTTCACAGTGCTGTGCTTTACCCCCTGTGCCACCAGGGAGGCCCTGTCCTATTTTTATTAAAGATAAAATTTATATTTATTATCCTCCTTGTA